AGTTCTCGTTTGTTGATGTGGTTCATAAGTGTTTCTCGTTTCTTGTTTTTTATATAGATTAGACCGTTGGTTTTCCCGTTTGAATGGTTTTACACTAGTAATTTTTGGGGCCCTTTATAGCTTACTGTTCGGTGTGAGCCAAGGCTCCGTGTTGAAGACCGTACTTTGACCTATAATGGTTTACTTTTATAAATTTTGACTTGGATGGAGAGTTGTCTCATTGGCACTCATACCACATCTTCTTATATCTATTAAAAAGTTATTTAGAATTATGATCAGCTAAAGGCCAATGTGCACTTCCAGATCCACTGTTCATTACTGAAAATTTTTCAGCCTTGGAAAGGAAGTATTTCATTTCTAGTTTAAAAAATTTATTGGAATTGTGTGGATTTCAAGCAGACCTTTATAATGGACACTCTTTTCGTATTAGTTACTCAGCTACTAGTGCTGGTAAGGCTAACATTGAAGATCATTTGATCAAAACTTTGGGCAGATGGAATTCTGATAGGTATTGTCAATACATAAGAACAGATAAATCCTCTATTAAGTATGCACAGCAACAGATTTGTAAAAGTAAGTTTTATTTAACAGAACTTAGTTAATATTCATTTATAGATACATGTATGTAGCATTAAGATCAACTCTTATATTTATTGTACCACTGATATTATTATCATTAATACAGTTTGTCATAATATTAAAATATGTACATTTATACTGTGTTCACAAGGAATTTCCCAGTGTTTAGTTGAAGGCTTCCTTTTTACTCAATTCTTCCCATTCATTACCTTGGGGGTCACTCAGCTGTTTCACATCTGACTTTTTGGACCCTTTTGAAATTGACCACTGGTCTAGTTTATCATTTCCCCCAAGTCATTAAATGTAATACATCTACATGTATTTCTCTCTCCACCGTCAATCTGACCCCCTTTTATCGTAGCCACCTGCTACGAGATGGAGCATCGCTTCATCCCCTTATAGGAACTCATCTTGTTCCCGTTGGTTGATGGAGTGTCCATGTCCATGGGGCTTCGTCCATCTATACCAAGTGTCGTCGACAGGGCCTGGAGCTAAATTTCCCTTGGCTGAGTACAACTCCCAAGGGCCAAACATTTATATTTTTATGTCAATAAAATTTTGAATATATATATAAAAATTGTTGTCAGCAGCAAACTCAATGATGTCTTGTTATGCAGGATGTTTCTATTCCAATGTCTAGTAGTATGTCTTAAAGTAGATCTTGAAGGTGGTATTTGAGTCATCATGTTATAGAACTGGTGTATAGAATGAAGGTGTAGCTTTCTAGAGTTATCTCCCCTATACAGTGAGGTTCAGGTTTATACTCTGTCACATTAGGTTTTGTCCTATTCAGTTGAGCCAGAAGGTATTGCATCAGAAGTAGGTTCATGAATAATGATTCAAGTCATATTTGGTATATAAGTCACAAGTCTTAAATCTATGAAAATTATATCACCAGGAACACCTAAATAAGATAACTACAAATACAAGGTTTTAAAAGAACTACCAAGAACACTTAAACAAGAGAGCTACAAATACAGGGTTGAAAAAGAATCACCTGGAACACCAGAATATAAGAACTGCAACAACAGGGTTTAAAAAATCATTAGGAATACCTAAACAAGAATCAACTATAACAGGGTACATGAATTATTATTGGTATATCATAGGAGAATAAAATACATATATCGCAATGTGTTGCTTACATCCCTTGTATCGTCTAACAGTGGAAAAAGCTCGTGCACAATATAGTAGTTTTAAGTCACATGGTCTACTTTATAAGTGGTCATTACAGCTTTACATTACATCCCTTAAGTCTTTGGAGACGAGAATAAATATGACCAAGGTATATTTAACAAATCAGGAGGGTTTTTTTAATTTTTAAAAACCTTTAAATGTTTATGTTTATATAAAAATTTGTTTTTCATTTTTAACCTAATTTCGAAAGAAAAATCGGTTATTGATTTGGGGATGTACGGTGGGCGGCTGCCAAACAGTGTCCGTTCATTAACATGAAAACCCTTTGACGAAATCTTTTCAAATTTAGATATTCTTTAGTTGGTCTGACTCTCTATAAAATTTATTTTCAGATTTCAATCACTGCCCACCTTGTAAATATAAGTTAGTTTTAAATTAATCTTGCTGTATAGCTTAATAACTGTTAAAATGTTTGTGGTTTTAAAATTAATGCATGCATGATTTAATGGCCAAAGTTCTATGAAAATATGAAAAATTAACAAGAGGAGGTCTTAGGTGCACATCATTGAGACAGCAACCTAGGAAATCAATTTAACTGAAGGAGTTGTTGTCTTGCTGTGGTCTTTAAAATATTGTCCAAGTGCACTCTCTGTATTGCAAGTTCAGAGTATAATCTTGAATGAAGACAAGTTATGAATAAACTTAACAATGTGATCTTAATATCTAACACCAATACTAAATTCTCAATAGAGAAAAATATAAGTAGACATCATCAACCACTGACAAGATTCCTGACATGGTACATGCGCCTTTAAGCATGTCTGGTGTCAAAATCAAAGTTATTTTGAGTCATTCCTTTTTAGCTCACCTGGCCCAAAGGGCCAAGTGAGCTTTTCTCATCACTTGGCGTCCGTCGTCCATCGTCGTTCGTCGTCGGCGTTAACTTTTTACATTTTGAACTTCTTCTAGAGAACCACTGAATGGAATGAAACCAAACATGGCATGAATGTTCCTTATGAGGTGCTGACCAAGTGTTGTTACTTTGTAGCGGATCCATCATCCAAGATGGCCGCCAGCGGGGGACTTAGTTTAACATAGGACCCTATGGGAAATACATATAAATGTCTTCTTTTAGAGAACCACTGAATGGAATGAAACCAAACATGGCATGAATGTTTCTTATGAGGTGCTGACCGAGTGTTGTTACTTTGAAGCCGATCCATAATCCAAGATGGCCACCAGCGGGGGACTTAGTTTAACATAGGACCCTATGGGAAATACATACAAATGTCTTCTTTTAGAGAACCACTGAATGGAATGAAACCAAACATGGCATGAATGTTTCTTATGAGGTGCTGACTGAGTGTTGTTACTTTGAAGCCGATCCATAATCCAAGATGGCCGCCTGCAGGGGACTTAGTTTAACATGGGACCCTATGAGAAATACATACAAATGTCTTCTTTTAGAGAACCACTGAATGGAATGAAACCAAACATGGCATGAATGTTCCTTATGAGGTGCTGACTGAGTGTTGTTACTTTGAAGCCAATCCATAATCCAAGATGGCCGCCAGCGGGGGACTTAGTTTAACATGGGACCCTATGGGAAATACATACAAACGTCTTCTTTTAGAGAACCACTGAATGAAATGAAACCAAACATGGCAAGAATGTTCCTTATGAGGTGCTGACCAAGTGTTGTTACTTTGAAGCTGATCCATAATCTAAGATGGCCGCCAGATGTGGACAATGTTTAACAAAGGACCCTATGGACAATACATACAAATGTCTTCTTTTAGAGAACCACATACTGAATGGATTGAAACCAAACATGGCATGAATGTTCCTTATGAGGTGCTGACTAAGTTTTGTTACTTTGAAGCTGATCCTTCATCCATGATGGCCGCCAATGGGGGGACTTCCTTTAACATAAGACCCTATGGGAAATACATACAAATTCTTCTTCTAGAGATGCACTGAATGGAAAGAAACCAAAACATGGCATAAATGTTTCTTATGAGGTGCTGATTAAGTGTTGCTACTTTGTTGCTGATTTACTGTTCAAGATGGCCACCAGGATTTTTTATTAAATTACAGGACCAATATTAAACCAAATTTGGCCTCACTCATTATTAGGGTATCTGTTATGATTTTAATCTATTTTTACATGATTTCCAAAACCAAAGTAGAATCAGGTGAGCGACACAGGCTCTTAAGAGCCTCTAGTTATTTTGTCAATATCATAGAAGAAAGGACAAACTTGAATGTTGATTATTGTTTGCTTAGGAATATGTCCAGTAGCAAATATTTCATGCATATACAGGACAACAACTTTGAACATTTCCCAAATGAATGTAAATCACATTGATGCAGACTATGTCATGAAATAACAGTTGCAAAGCTAGGAATAATGCAAAAGCAAAGTCTTCTTAAATATTTTGTCACATCAATTCAAAAAAATTTCTCAAATCACAATATTTTCTAGTTTTTTAATGAAATTGATCTGTCAAATATGCCATGTTGACATTAGCTGACCAAATCAATGGAAATGCTTCCATTTCTGCCTGATTAACAGCCTGTCATTTTTTTCTAATTTTATGGTGTATTTATTATTGATAAATCATTAAGTGTGGTACAAGCTATCAATAAGTTGGCCATTGTACCAGTTTTGGATTAACTATATTTACAAATGATAAGAACCTGGGGTTTTATCTCATATGTTTAAAGATTAAATCAGCATGACACAATTGTATGCTACTATATAATTTATTAATAGTTTTATAATGTTCTTTTGTGAAGTTTGAGTATTTAATTCTTAACAAGGAGGACAAATTGGACTGAAATTAGAATTCACTTTAGTCTACAGATAATTATGATAAAACTATACATTTAAATGCTAATTAAGGTAAAGTGAAAAAAAAGAGTTGATACTTGGTAAATGTATGTTCAAATGAAATACAAAATTCTTTAAATATGACCCCCAAGGGTGACTGGGGAATAGAAATGTGGTCACTAAGGTCTTCTTCTGACTGGCAGTAAAGCTCTTGCCAAAGTGCGGGATCTGTTTGGCTGTGTGGGATGTACAACTACGCAGCCACGTCTGTGTCAGAATGGCGATGTTAAATCTTGATGCCTCAGGTAAAGCGAGTGACACACTGTTTGTACGTTAAGAACCCTTTCAACAACCCTTTGGAAGGGTCTGTAGGTGGCCTGTTGCAAGGCAAAATTTCTGTCCCTATTCAATATATCAATATACCAATATAAGCTGTTGTGTGTAATTTCAGAGCTTATCCAAGACCAAAAAATCCATTTTATTGGTAAGAAGTAGCGTCAGTTGCTTTAGAGCTAATTGCTACATTAATATTTTAACCTGCAGTAAAGATTTCGCAGTATAAAGATACTAAGTTATAATTTATCATATATTTCCATCTCTCAGTACTTAAATCAAAATAGAAATTTAACTATTGCTATAAAATAATTGAGTTATGAAGTTTTATGCTATTTATCAGCACAAATTTTAACAAGATGTTCTAAGAAAGAGTTGATGCATGTGAAGAAATCTCATATTCTTCTAAGGAAAAACATCTAAAGAAGTGAAATTAACATTTAATGTATTTCTAAAAAAAGAATCTCATTTAATATAGATATTAAAATTCTGTAACTAAGGATATATGACTGTAATTTTTTTATATTCTGCTGAAATAAATACATGCATTTTAATTTATTGCATAATTAAGATTATATTCCATTTGGTATACCCTAATACATGTAGTATTTAAAACCCTATGTCAAAATATTATGGAAGATATGTTAAAGCATGGAAGTAATATTGAGAGGAATAACAACGACTAATTAGCATGTATTTATGGCCTGCAGAGCTCTGTACTAAAGTCATATGATTTTATCCAATTATAGTCTCAGCGGCAAGACCCCTTTGGTTACTATCTGTGATACCGCGGTTGTAAAATGGCATCTGGAATTTCTTATCAGTCACGTGATTTTATCGAGTACGGTAATTATAAAGCACCTGTGTGAAATCCTAGTTTATTAATTAACAAGGTGGCACTGTATCATATAAAACTTCTACCTTCAAAAAGAAATCTAATGATGTAAAAAAACTTGAAAAACGGACGAGAATTGTTTACACTACAGCAGTTAAACATGGAAAATTGTATTTATTTTTGCATATTTTTGCTTTTTACCGTTCGTTTTAAACTGATCTAAAAGTATTTTCCAATTGAAAGCGGATCCCGATTTAAACAGGTAATACCGATGAAGCGATCAGGTTTCACATAATGTTTAACAAAATAATGAAGACAAATGTATGGAAAGCCAACAGGGTCAAAATTCTTAATTCGTAACTTGTCAATTCGTAACTTGTATCTGTGTAATTTCTAAATTCGTAAAATTCGTAATTCGTAAATTGTTAATTTGTAACTTGTTACTGTGAAATTTCATAATGCTTAATTCGTAACTTGTTAATTTATAACTTGCATCTTTGTAATTTCAAAATTCTTAATTAGTAAATTGTCAGTTTGTAACTTGTAACTGTGTAATTTCATAATGCTTAATTCGTAAATTGTCAATTTGTAACTTGTATCTTTGTAATTTCAACATTCTTAATTCGTAAATTGTCAATTTGTAACTTGTAACTGTGTGATTTCAAAATTCTTTATTGGTAAATTGTCAATTTGTATATTGATGTTTTGTAACTTGTAACATGTCGATTCGTGAAATGTCGATGTGTTAAATGTCATCGTTGTTGTATTATGCTAACGATCATTATGACGACAAATGGCGCTCTGTTTCTTTTTTGGTGTATAAGCCTCCTGTAAGTAGGAGCACCTTCATATGGAATATATTTACCCAGTAATTTAAATCAATTATGTACAGCAAAGCAAAATTATGAGTCAAAAGAAAGCAAAACCAAAAAATTGCATGTTTACAGGATCCCAGTTATTTGTTTACTGAAGACGACAGGTGGCGTTTCGAGAACGGAAACAATATAAAACACATCCCGAATAGGTTCAGTCCCTCCATGTAATCGATCTCTTCTTATTGAGAGGTTAATGAAATAGTCGTTGGTCAGAGGAATACAACGACTGAATTATTCAGGTAAATACAATAATGGTGATAAACCGTATGATTGCCAATGAGACAACTATCCATCAAAGTTCAAATAAAGTCGATGTAAGCAAGTATAGGCAACTTACGGCGCCCCTCAACAATGAGAAAACCCAATACCATATAGTCGTCCATAAAAGGCTACATCACTACTGAAAAACCCAGGTACTAGTAATAAACGATTTCTATTAATCCTAAAATGCTATATCCATGATATCGAACCATTAGTTCTGACAGGAGGGAAAGGGCTGTCAGACATATATATATATATATATATATATATATATATATATAAGTGCCTATAAATAGCAGCACATGACATACAAATCTATGGGAGTGTGGATTAATCAGTACAGAGATTAATTCAATTACACAAATAAAATTATAGATTGCCTAACAATGTAAAAAGTTTCTTATCATCTACATCCGATTTCACCTGGATAGATGCACGCTTGATAAAGCTAGTTAGTCTAGCGAAATATTGCATTTATTTTCATCATTTTGTAAATATTTTAAACATTCTTATATTTACATACTAAATAGTGTGTTAAAATTACATTGTTAGGCAATCTATATATATATATATATATATATATATATATATATATATATATATATATATATATATATATATATATATATATTAATATACATGCCTAGTGAACTTTTCTGGTGAAGAAGCTTAAGAATTGCCGCTACCTTGTTTTTTAGTTCTATAAAAATTTACAACCCAAAAGACCAAAATATTCCCGATTCCTTCTCAACTGCTGCTAAACTCCCAGTACTCCCGGTATATACCCCACCCGGTGCAACCTCTCCTTATAGGCCGGCAACCTGACCAAATCTAATATTTCGTAGATATGATTCACGATGTTAATTAATAAAGCTTTTTTTTTTTAAATTAACAATTCATATGAAATTAAAAATAGTTTGCAATGAATTCGTAACAATATAAATATTTCCCGACATATGTCAAGAAATGACGCTATCCCACGATGCATCATCCTAATATCCAATTGACGAAACCATGTTGTATTCCGCCTGGCTCTTCTGTCGAGCAGTGAGCCAGGATCTAAGGCTACCAATTTACTCTCCAAAATAACCCAAGACATACTCCCTCCCCCACCCGGGCCAAACCTCAAATCATGTGCAAAGACTTTCATGGAGAAATAAAATAAGGGTAAGCATATTGGAGATAATTGCTTCTGTCATGCAAATAGTGAGATGGCGAGATTTTCTCTCTGACAGGTCAAAGGGGTAGAGCTTTTATTTTTTTAAATTGTCTGGTTCTATAGCAGAAACCAGCCCCTCAACCACCTCGTACAGAAATATTGGCTTGAGCGTCTTGTCTGTATGTCTTGTAGTTTCAGTTGGTGAGCGTGTTTGAGACACAGCCATCTTTTCTGGATTTGTAGTCTCCTGTTATAAATCTCGCATGTTGTCGCTGTATTCTTTCAAGCTTTTTGATGTTCGTAGATATGTAGGGGTCCTATACTATTGACCATACCCCATTATTGACCTGACCCGTGAAATATATGCGGCTTCCGTGCATTCTGATGGGCAATATATCAAATTTCTAAACAGGAATCCTAGTGTTGAGTTTGCCTTCTTGGCTACGTTGAAAATATGGGTAGTCCATTTTAGGTCCTCGTTTAGTTTTCTGGTTCCTTTAGATTTTATTACAAAATATGGCATATTCAATACAGTTTTAATATATAGTATACATTAACTAATATTTATACTCATTTGAAATAATACTTCATTCAACTTGTTTTGCAAAGTACAAATATGATATAAATCATTTTTTATCTTCATTACTCAAGAGCCAAATAAATAAAGATTGTTCGTCAATTTAATTCTTGTATTAAAAAATCATTAGATAATTACATTCTTTTTGAAAAATTTAATATTGAGATTATAATATTAAGGAATAATGGGTGTCAATCCATTTCTCCTATCATACATTAACTGTCCAAAATTTGCGGCCCAGTACAATATTAGTATGAATTTTCCAAATCCGTCTTATATTTCATGTAGTTAGTTTAATTTTAGCCGGTCAAATATTAAGAAGATATTTCCTGCCAATTGACAGTAATATATTTGCGAAGTTGACAACTGGAAGCCAATTCTGAATATACATGTACCTTAACACAGGAAGTGACACACCCTCCCAGGTTTGGTGACCAGTATAGTAAACATTATGTTGTATGTTACACCACTGTCCTAGGTTAGGGGGAGGGTTGGGATCCCACTAACATGTTTAACCCCGCCATATTCTGTATGCATGTTACTGTCCCAAGTCAGGAGCCTGTAATTCAGTGGTTGTCGTTTGTTTATGTGTTACATATTTGTTTTTCGTTCATTATTTGTACATAAATTAGGCCGTTAGTTTTCTCGTTTGAATTGTTTTACATTATTATTTCGGGGCCTATTATAGCTGACTATGCGGTTTGGGCTTTGCTCATTGTTGAAGGCCGTACAGTGATCTATAGTTGTTAACTTCTGTGTCATTTGGTCTCTTGTGGAGAGTTGTGTGGTGTGATTGGCAATCATACCACATATTCTTTTTTATATATACATGTTTATTCGAGGTCACCTTTATATAAAACCGAGTCTCTGGTATACATGCCATATAAAACAAACAATGTATTTATCTATTTGTTTTCTTTTATATGTATGTGCTGTACATAACTGATTTAAATTACTGGGAATATACTCCATATGAAAGCGCTCCTACTTACAGGAGGCTTATACACCGAGGAAGAAACAGAGCGCCATCTGTCGTCATAATGATCGTTAGCATAATACAATGATGACATTTAACACATCAACATTTCACACATCGACATTTCACGAATCGAAATGTAACAAGTTACAAAACATCAATATACAAATTGACAATTTACCAATAAAGAACTTTGAAATCACACAGTTACAAGTTACAAATGACAATTTACAAATTAAGAATGTTGAAATTACAAAAATACAAGTTACAAATTGACAATTTACGAATTGGGAAATTTCAAATTACAAAGATACAAGTTACAAATTGACAATTAACGAATTAAGAATATTGACCCCGTTGGCTTTCCATACAAATGAAGACATAGATTTTTTTACTGTTGAAATGTGCAAAGTTTATCAAGATTTAAAAAAGGATATTTACTTTCAAGTATTTTAAATTTATGTATATATGTAATAAATGTCATTGATTACATTATTGAAACTGGACAACTAAAATCGGAATAATAAGTTCGTAAATATCTATTTTTAAAAAGTGTTTTAATACAGTTAACAATGGTTAATATATAACACGCTACAGCTAAAATAAAAACAAACAGACACAATGAGCTTGACCCTATCTGCCCAACTGCAAATTCATTTAATAAAGATATTCTTGTAAAATTAGTTAAGGCTTTACCAAAAGTAATAGTTGGCATTTATAATCAAGTTTTGTTAAAGGCTATGATGTCTACAGCTTATTTTTGTTTCTTACGTATTGGAGAAATTGCAGTTAAAACTGAGTCTGAATTCTATAGAGTAATTCAAAGGGAAGATATAAAGTTTGAAAGAGTAAATGGTCATGTGAGCAATATGACAATTACTATGAAGTTCTACAAACATAGTAATCTGCAAAGTAAGACATTATCAATAGCTAGACGTCCTGAAAATTATCTATGTCCTGTTAAAGCTATTGAGGAATATCTAAGGTTACATAATTGTCCACTTGGTCCTTTATTTCGATTTAAATGTGGAAAACCTGTTTCAGGTTTTTATTTCAATTCTTCATTAAAAAGTTTGCTTAATTTCGTAGGTTTAGACACAAATTTTTATAAAGGTCACAGTTTCAGAATTGGAGCTGCGACATCTGCAGCTGCCAGAGGTGTGCCTTTAGCCTTGATCCAAAACATGGGTAGATGGAAGTCAAACGCTTTTCAACATTATATTCGACTTGATAATTTTCACACTTAGATTTAATATAATCACAGTCGCTTACTAAGTGCTTTGGTAGAGGTCAACATGGCTTGCTTTACCTTATTGTGATTCATTTTTTGTAAGGATTAACAAGACTGTTTTATACATGTTAGAAATATTTACTTTTGTAGAGGTCAACATGGTTTGCTCTGCAAATTTAAGTTTTTGCCATCAGTCATTTACTATATATGTAATGGTATTTATTTGGTTGGTAAAGGTCAACATGGCTTGCTTTACCTTTCATTTACAAGTTTCATTATATTAGTATATATTATTTTTTGTTTTGTTTATAATATGTGTTAATATTTTTGTAGAGGTCAACATGGTTTGCTCTACACTTTTACTTGAAATGCAAAAGTTAAAAGGTGTATATTTTATTCCATTTTGGGTGTTTTTTGTTGAGGTCAACATGGCTTGCTCAATTTTTCTAGTTCTGGAGTTCCTCAAGTTGAATACAGAGTCCTCGGATGGGGATCCCTCTTGGGATTTGTGGCACTTTTTCAACCCCACCTTTGCTTATTAAAGTCATTGTCATTTATGCAGTACTTTTATAATTGTTAAGATGTAAGTTGCATTTTAAATTAATTTCTGAATAAATGACATTTTACTCAACTTGTGTTTTATTAACAGCAAACATAGCTCAGACTCTTTGATCTAGGTCATTTATACAAGGTTTTCTCGTTGTTATCTGTGTCTAGGAACATTAGCTGACAAAATAACATTTATTGTAAATAAAAGACTTTTTGGCTGGAATTTCTGATAATATTGATTTTATTAATGCCATGTGTGTAAGAAGGCATTTCTTTGTTTAAGTATATCAACAATGAGGTCAAGGACTGCATGTTCAATGCATGATCATCTAATTACATTATCTAATTGGTCAGTTCTTGAGATCGGTAATTAATATCAAATTTCTACATGTGCTCGGACATGCAGTCATTCGCCTTTGTTTTGGAGTAAAATGTCATTTATTATTAAGATGTTATTATACGAATTAGTTTAAAGAATAGAAAGGTTTGTGAATATTTTAATTGACTGGTATACATGCATGACTTGGATTTTCATATTTGATAAAAGGGGGTCCAAACATATTTTTTGTACAATCATATTCTTAAATTTTTAAGAAATGGCGTCTTAACTGTCTGTAAATATTAAAATTGAAAACGATCCACCCATGTTCTCCAGTTTTTAAGATCGAAATAAACAGAAATAGGAAAATTAGACTAAAATCAACATTGAAGGAATTACTCTATTCGGCAGCGTACATCAGCGGAATGTAACGAGTGGACTATTCGGTTACTTCGCACGTATATACGACAACAACTTGTCTGTTCGTAATTTTCCGTGAACATGAAAACGACTGAAAAGTGTCAGTGATTTGATCGATCACATGCCGAGAGTCAATTACCATGCCATATATTAAACCAATTAACGAGTTATCGAAAGATAGGCGGTAACGCAGATGAAACCTTTGAACTGGCGTTGTAGTTATTCCTTTCAATATTACTTCCATGGTTAAAGTAACAGTATATGAAGTGTTTATGTAGTTTTGGTTGCACAATAAACGTGTAAACTTTTGAACATGGGCTAGATATATAGATTTTGTGTGTGAGTTACATCATAAACCATACATGTGAATAACTAATTTTCTTGCAGGTTTAGTCATTCAATTTAAGGATATAGGGTACAATAGCAGGGCCAGATGTAGTGGCAAGAACATTGTCTACAGCTTACTACTACAACTAAATTTATGATTTCACTAAAAATTTCATCTATTCAATTTTCATTTTGGAAACTAGCTTTAAGGGCTATAAACTAAGGAGGACTTGGCAAAAAAATAATGTAAATATCTCTTTCTGTTTGAAAGTTAGAAGAAATTTTTGGAAAAATATTGAAATGTAAAATTTTGTGTTTTTACCTCAGCCAAGTAAAAGTAAAAAACAAAATCTTTTAAAATCAGTCTTGAAGGTATTTTTTTTTCTTTGCATATTTCAAAAGTGCAAATCAACATCAACTTTTTGTAAAAAATTCAAGAAAAATTCAATTTAAGTCATTAAGATTTCTTCTGTATCGTATGCCCTTAAAAAATTGAAGCTTGAATAAAAATTGTCTCTGGTACTGCTCAGTAGATACAGCTAGGTCTAGGTGACATTCCCATAGCTTAGATCAAGTTTCCCAAGCTTTGGTTTCCATGATCTTTTTTTATAAAGCTCCTGTTAAAATATTAAACAAAATATTGGTTGCCACTTCTATGGTTTATATTGTAACACAATGTGTATTGTGTTTGAAGACAATATTTTAAAAGAAGAATAATTGGTAAAACATAAAAATTAGTTTTTAGTTTTTATAGTACAATATGTTCAGTCTATATAAAAGCAGCACATTGTGAGATTTCTTCCTTTCGATAAGAAGATGACAACAGAAGGGTTTATAAAACATAGGTCAACTAGATTATGAAATACTAGTAGCATCTAGAATTGTGAGCATATTGTGTCTATTGATATTTTTTGAAAGCAATATATTTACAGAAACAAGTGCTATATAGGAATATTTACATACATTTAAAAAGTTTTCTCTTTATATGCTATTCCTGTATTACATTTCAGAGAAATAATTATTATCACTACAATATTAAAAAGATAGAATAGTATTCTTGAAAAATAAAGATAATAGTAAATGTCTTGGTATCTTATTTACACTGCTTTTTTACAGGACATACCTAGGAGACGGAAAACAGCCTTTATATGAACCAAAACTATTTATTGTACCATCATCAGAAAATGTTTCAAGAAGTTTACTTGAAGAAAAGGAAATGGAAAGTCTGGCTAAAACTGAAACGATTAAAGTATGTTTACCACTTATAAAATATCTAACAGGGAAAATTCACGATTTTTGACTTGTAACCTAAATATGATCATTATAATATAAAATATATATTCACACAAAATTTTATCGATATATGTGCAGTAATAAAGAAGAAAATAATTATTAAATTTTTTATATAGACTACTTCCTGCAGTACGTGACGTTAACTACTGCTATTGCATGCCGGGATTTAAAGAACAATCATTTAAAGTCTTGTTCTTTAATCATATTTCAACGTAATCATAAGCGTGCCGATGACTGATTTTCATAGCTAATTACCATCCAATAACAAGAAAATAAAACAAACAGACATGCAACATGTTACATTCATGAGTTAAATTTTTCTAAGTTTACCATATATATTTCCATTTTTGATATGTTTACAGCACAAAAAGTAAATCTTTTAATTTTTTTTAATATTTTCTTTTCCAACGAATATGCTGAAAAAAATTAAAGAATATAACTTTAACTGTAAGAACAATAAGTCACAATACGTTTAGACCCTTAATTCAAGCAAACATTTCTACGCTAGGACTATGCCCGTACGAAATATTTAGCAGGATTCCTACCAGACTATAGCAGGAATTCACACGGAATTAGCAGGAAATTTTAAATTCCTGTTACTTTTTAGACGTACTAGGAAAAACTTCAGTTTTTCTGACAGGATTTTTCATTTTCCTACAACATTCCTGGTTTGGGTAACAGGAATATTTTTTCCTGCCAGAAAATCTTTCTACCAGGAATGTTTTCTTATTCAAGCAGGATTATTATCTTGACTGCTATTGGTTTGTATTCAATTATCTTTAACTGGATTCCGGTTTGCTTATAACATTTATTTTGCTGTGTAATAAGAGACCAGGTTCCAGTTAACAAATTCAAAAGTTGGAGGGTAAAAGATTCAGATTGTGTTTAAATAATACTGCAAAGATTGAATAATTACCATGAGGGAAATATTTGAATGTAAGACAGGATTGCTTATGAAGGTATTTAAATTTAAGCTTCACTTTTTCATGTGTAAGAGGAAGTTTTTAATTTCTAATTTGCATGATAGTCAAATTAATTCAACTTATCAAAAAATGGGAACCTAAGTCTTCAATCATATTTTGTCTAACCAATATTTAAAAAAAATAAAAATTAGAGAGTGAACAAAAAAACTGATACATCTATTTCCATCATAATTAAATTCAAAAACACATTACAAACCTGGTTTATAACACAACTTTCATATGTGGTATATAGCTACTTCAAACATTTAAGTGTCAAATTTTGTAACAAGAATTTTTAACATGTGTTTTCTTTGTTCTTTGTGGCTAAGATTCAAACTAATGAATGACCCAGTTGTGTATATGTGTATACACCTAAGTTTGTAATGTATATTTTTAGATTCCTGCTAGAAAATCAATTTTCCTGGTAGGAATTTATGAAAAAAATCCTACCAGGAATATTCAAATTAGCAGGAAATTTTGTAGGAATTTTACTTTCCTACCAAATTATTCCTGCTAATTTGAATATTCCTGGTAGGAATCACATTATTCCTACTAAGAAAATCCTGCTAATTTAAATTTTTTGGCTGTTTTTCCTGGCGGATTCCTGCTACTATCAAGCAGGAATATGCACACTTTCCTGGTAGAAATTCTTAACAAATTCCTACTAGATTCCTTGTACATTCCTGTAGGACCAGTTCGTACAGGTGTTAATACAATGTGTATTATTCCCTGGCAATACTGATGGAAGGCTTGTTATAAAATCAAGGTAATTTGCAGATCAGTATTTAGCCGTGTCTCTAGGGCACACCGTGCCAGGTGTGAATGTCATTTTGAATGGATTATAAGACAGAAGGTCTAGTTTAATACACAAAGTTAAAATACATACTAAAGGTAGTGGCAAATACAAATCGATCGCCATGGAATATTAAATCATATATAGGGTATGTATTTCATATACATGTAGGAGGAATAAATCCGATGTTATGAAAATGACAAATAATGTTCAAATTAAATTTAAAGGAGAATTTATTAATATCAAAATAATTTTTTTATTTGATCAGTTTAAAAACGAAGAAATGATTTTGGGGAAACTAATAATCAAGTGTAATAATAAGAGTATATCATTTGACTAATCAAAACGAAAAAAACTAAATTTTATAAAATTGGTGTATCTATTGATTTACCTCATACAGTTAAAAAATGTACAGAAACACTCTAATCTAAATATTTGAAATCTAAGTATGTGTTACCTGGCCAAAAGGTGTTTAATCAATATCGGAAACCATCTAAAGTCAACTTTGCGTATTTAGAACGGAACTCAAAAAAAATACATGGAAAATTTGAATACTTTTGCTTCAATGTAAATATTCACACATATAAAACATTCATATAAATAAACATGTATAAAACCTCTTTCACACGGTGAAAAAAAATGAAATCACACAAAATCATTTAACACCGAAGTAAGTTTTAGATAATTAACGGGTGCTCTTTTGGTGGACCGTGGCTGTATCAATCCATTCTTCAGGCTACTTCAGCTAATGATCTTCCCTTTATTTTTATCCAATCAACAAAATATTTTTGATTCCGAAATCTTTTATTATTCAAAACTGTTAAATATTCATTGTTTAAGAAAAAAACCAACTGTAACTGTATTACAATCAACTTCAAAATGAGGAGGAGTTTACTTTTAATAAAAAGGGAAGTTTTCATGATTCGAAAGGGTTATATTTGATATTTATTCCATTCTAGGTCTCAAATATATATAGGAAATAAAACTGCAAAAGTTGGTGTAATTATAAGTATTTTAAGTTTGGCTAAAACGTATCAATCATATATTATTCAGTGGAAATCAGAAAGTTTGTGATTTGTATTTAAGACAGACTGGAGGAATCGGATTTTCAATGTGCATTATATCTTGTACCTTTGCAAGACTTGTCATTCATATTCTTCAGTCACACACATTATTCCCACTCTAAAGAGACAAGAATACTCGGACAAGTGGACAAGCAGTAGTATTTTTAAATTTCTGTGATTTAATACCAAATAAAAAAAACACCAAAATTAATTTGATACTCAATATTTTTCCTTGAAAATAAACATTCTCCTTCCGTCTGAAAAATAAAATATGAACTTGGTATACAGAACATTCAGACGTGTGAATGTTATAAAATCTTGTTATATCAGAAAAAGGTATTGAACCTGTATATGTAAGACCTCATGGGATGGCACCTTACCATATACAGGTAATTTATCCTGCAATCAGCTAACTATTGTACAAATAACAGGTAAACAAATAATTTTTATGCCCCCGCCGTAGGGGAGGGGGCATTAAGTTTTACCCTTGTCCGGCTGTACGTACGTACGTCCCGAAATTGGTTTCCGTTCTCTAACTTGAGTTTGCCTCAACCAAATGTTATGAAACTTATACACAATGCTTATTACCACAAAACACAGATCAAGTTTGAATTTTGGTGGCGTCACTTTAACCGATCTAGAGTTATGCCCCTTTATAAAAGGAAATATTGCAAAATTTTTAGTTTCCGTTCTCTAACTTAAGTTTGCCTCAACCAAATGTTATGAAACTTATACACAATGCTTATTACCACAAAACACAGATCAAGTTTGAATTTTGGTGGTGTCACTTTAACCGATCTAGAGTTATGCCCCTTTATAAAAGGAAAAATTGCAAAATTTTTATTTTCTTCTAAATATCAAGTTTATATAATATATTTTTAAAATTGGAGTTATCTTCCTTTGACCATGATTATAGTTGAATTAACTACAATCAATGCTTTATACAATGCAATGTTTAATTTGACTTCCACTGATAAAACACAGATCAAGTTGAATTTGGGTAGTGTCACTTTAACCATTATTGAGTTATGCCCCTTTATAAATAGAAAGATTGCAAAATTTTTTAGTTTCCATTCTGTAACTGAAGTTTTCCCCAGCCAAACATTATGAAACCTATACACAATATTCATTACCACAAAACGCAGTAAGGATCAAGTACAATTTTTTTGTTTCAGTTCTCTAACTTGAGTTTGCCTCAACCAAATGTTATGAAACTTATACACAATGCTTATTACTACATAACACAGATTAAGTAAGAAATCAGGTGGCAACACTTTTACCATTCTAGGGTTATGTCCCTTTATAAACATAAAAATTGCTGAATTTTTTAGTTTGTCTCAACCAAATGTTGTAAAACTTATACACAACCGTTCTAGAGTTATGCGTGTTTACAAATAGCAAAATTGCTGAATTTTTAGTTTCTGTTCTCTACTTAAGTTAGCCTCAACCAAATGTTATGAGACTTACACACAATGCTTATTACCACAAAACTCAGATCAAGTTCAAATTTGGGTAGCGTCACTTTTACCGTTCTTCAGTTATGTCCCTTTATAACTATATGATATGCAAGCGGGGGCATCATCTGTGTCCACATGTGGACACTATCCACATTTATTTGGTTTATTTGTACTTGTACAAATAAAGTCTCCTGTTACCCTGCTTCCATGTTGAGCATGCGGTAATGTGGATATTTCTTTTTGCGTACCAGTTCATTTTGGGGTCCTCTTCGAGGTCCGCGTTTAAACTATGTCGATTTCTTTGAAAAATTAGAGACAATGATTTAGATTTTAACAACTAAAGTTTCAAGTGTTGGGTGTAAATTTCAGATAAAAACAATATATGTACATTGTCGGAAAATATAAAATTTATTTGTACTCGCTCCTGTTTCTAAAGCTCATACAAATAAATTTTTTATTTTCCAACAATGTACATATATTGTATATATACATGTAGCTCTGTAATACCAGGAAATGTCAAGGTTAAAAACTACCGATACAGAATTGTACCATGTCAAAGAAATTCTCACGATTGTAAAGCATGACCATTCTTGATTTAAGAGGGGTCCTGGGTAGGGGAATGATTCAAATTGTAACTAGATTTTTTTTTCTGAACTTATATCACTAGGCTAAAAAAAAAAAAAATTACATCCAGGAAAAAATTCTTTTTGTAAATTCATAGAATACTCCTTAATATCGGCTACAGTACTTAGTGGACAATCAGTATTTTTAAATTTCCATGTTTTAATACTAAGTTAAAAAACACTGAAATTAATTTGATAGTCAATATGTTTCCTTCAAAAATTACATATCCTCATTCGGTCTGAAAAATAAAAAATGAATTTGGTATACAGAACATGCAGAATTGTGAATGTCATAAAACCTTATTATCATAAATAGGTATTGAACGCCAATATATATATAAACCTGTATATATGTGAGATGTTTATGACTTTGAGAGAATCCATAAAAGTAATTGCTCTAAAGTAATTCCCTTATATATTTACTGTTTAAAAATGACACACCATAGGTATTTAAGAAAAATTAGATGTCCATTCGGCCGACTTTTCCGACTCTTAAACCTTTTTTTAAATACTGTTCCATATCAAGTTAGTTAAAAAAAGTTTGCCGATAGGTAGTACAACCATGTTTGATATGATTCTATTTTTAGGATCAGGGAAACCGTGATTGCTTTTTCGGGTTAAAACAACCGTATGCCTGACAAGTGATTTCGACACTGAATTACGACTACGTTAGTCCCTTCTTGTTTTGGTACTTTGTGGTTTTTAGATATCACATGGTTTTTTAATTGGGAAGCCGTCAAGATGGATACATGTAGAGCATCTATAATGTCAATTTAAAATAGATGCTGATCTCTTATCTAGGGGTATAAAACGTTAATATTTATGAACTTGTGTTTTTTTATACATAATGAACATAATATCATTTTTTCATTTTTTTGCGAAGTTTCCCTTTAAATTTCTGTATTAACTGAGAGGCTAAAATATCCCCATCTTCTAAATTTTATATTCCCCTTTTTTTCAAGTTACAGGTTTTGTCAAACATCTATATAGGTAGTGGTACTTGCATACCGTTCCTTATTATAGCAGTATTATCTTATTTTTTGCAAAACATTATTTGACCTCCAGATTTTTAATTTTGTAAATTTTATTCTTTAAAAAATTTTATTTTGATCTTCAAATAACATGATTCCCAGAAATTAGGTATTTTTTTACAACTGATGTTTTTTATATATTTTTTTCTTAATTTTTTTTATCTTTTGATTAAAGCAAAAAAAAGTTATCTCCCTCCCTGTTAGGATTATTTACAGCCTACCAAAGAAAGATAACTCAGATTGGGTGAAAAGTAGACATTTCTAGATCTTCTTCAGTGAGATTCTTTTGGATTCTTCTAGACTCTTTTTACATCTGACAGAAGGCATGCATGTGTAATAAAATTTTCTTTACTGTATATCCATCTCATCTGAGAAATTTTTGGTTTCAACACCTGCCATTTTTTTTTTAACCAGATATATTCGTAAACTGAAAATAGAATTGACCATTTATAAGTTAAGTCGGAAAACAGATGTGATTTTGGTTTTGATGATAAGAAGAAAAGAATAATTGTCAAAGTAGTTCATTTACAGTATTTCTGTGATGTTAGATTATAAACAGAATGACAATTATTGGAATTAAATCTTTATCAGTTATACTCAAGATCAAACTGTTGGAAGCTAAAAATATAAAATGTTTGTGAGCAATTTATCCAAAAGGGCCTATAAATTTTTTTTGAGAGTTACAACTATGTAACTCCATACCGGTATATTACTAAAAATAAACTGTGTTTGGTTAAGATTTTTGTTGTCCCTCAAAATCGTATTCTGTAAGTGTGGAAATTTTTCATGCATGGGTTATTAAGTCTCCCAAACAAAGTTTGGGAAGACTTATTGTTTTTGCTCAGTTCTTATTATTATTATTATTATTATTCTTCTTCTTCTTCTTCTTCTTCTTCTTCTTCCGCCGCTTTTAAATTTGAACTTGTCCGCACCCGTTCTCCAAAACCGCTTGTCAGATTAACTTAGGGTTTCACAATATGTTAGACTAACATGTCTAGTGGTGTAATCAGGGTTTTGTTTGTGCAATGGGGTTTATAAAGGGGTACTTTGAGGGGCAAAAAGAAAAGAGGGTTTTACTATAGAACCCTATGGGATTTTATTTTTTTAAATTTTCAAATGATTATTAATTGAAAACCGTTTGTGATAGACACAATCTTTTTAATTGAAAATGTTCTAAATGATAAAGCCCATTAAATGAAATACAGGGTTAGTCCCCAGGGGTCACCCCCACCCCCTGCCATTTAAGAAAGTTCTAATACCTTGTAAGTGGTCAAGATCCCCACCCCTAAACCATATATATTTTGGTTTGTTATGCTAAGATGGTTTGAATGATATACAGAGTTAGTCCCCAGGGGTCATCCCGACCCCCTGCCATTTGAGAAAGTTTTAATATCTTGTAAATGGTCGAGATCCCCACCCCTAAACCATATATATTCTGGTTTGTCATGGTAAAGCACATCAAGTGATATACAGGGTTAGTCCCCAGGGGTCACCCCCACCCCCTGCCATTTAAGAAAGTTCTAATATCTTGTAAGTGGTCAAGATCCCCACCCCTAAACCATATATATTCTGGATTGTCATGCTAAGATGGTTTGAATGATATACAGGGTTAGTCCCCAGGGGTCATCCCGACCCCCTGCCAATTGAGAAAGTTCTAATATCTTGTAAATGGTCGAGATCCCCACCCCTAAACCATATATATTCTGGTTTGTCATGATAAAGCACATCAAATGAAATACAGGGTTAGTCCCCAGGGGGCACCCCCACCCCCTGCCATTTAAGAAAGTTCTAATATCTTGTAAGTGGTCAGGATCCCCACCCCTAAACCATATATATTCTGGTTTGTCATGCTAAGATGGTTGGAATGATATACAGGGTTAGTCCCCAGGGGTCATCCTGACCCCCTGCCATTTGAGAAAATTCTAATATCTTGTAAATGGTCGAGATCCCCACCCCTCAACCATATATATTCTGGTTTGTCATGATAAAGCACATCAAATGAAATACAGGGTTTGTCCCCAGGGGTCAACCCCACCCCCTGCCATTTAAGAAAGTTCTAATATCTTGTAAGTGGTCAAGATCCCCACCCCTAAACCATATATATTCTGGTTTGTCATGCTAAGATGGTTTGAATGATATACAGGGTTAGTCCCCAGGGGTCATCCCGACCCCCTGCCATTTGAGAAAATTCTAATATCTTGTAAATGGTCGAGATCCCCACCTCTAAACCATATATATTCTGGTTTGTCATGATAAAGCATATCAAATGAAATACAGGGTTAGTCTCCAGGGGTCACCCCCACCCCTGCCATTTAAGAAAATTCTTATATCTTGTAAATGGTTTAGATCCCCACCCCTAAACCATATATATTCCTATTTGTCATTTCTCGAACATTTAAATGACGTATACGGTCAGTCCCCAGGGGTTCCCCCCACCCCCAATGTTCTAATATCTTGTAAATGGTTGAGATCCCCACCCCTAAACCATATATATTCCTGTTCGCCATGTAATGAACATTTGAATGACATATAGGGCCAGTCCCCAGAGGTTCCTCCCCACCCCCAATGTTCTAGTATCTTGTAAATGGTCGAGATCCCCACCCCTAAACCATATATATTCTGGTTTGTCATGCCAAGATGATTTGAATGATATACAAGGTTAGTCCCCAGGCATCACTAATGCATATAACTTTACTGGACCAAACCAATTTTCACTGGACATTGCCCAATGTCAGGCGACCCTGGGAATTACGAATTATGGGAGCTTCGTTTGGGAGACTTCGTAACAGCATCCTGTTACAATCATTTCTTGTTTTAGCTGATTTTGGGATCATTAATGTATGAAATTATCCCATAAATGAATAGTTTGTACAAATGAACAATAACCATGGGAATGGCAGACTCAAATTACTATTTGATGTGTGACCTTAACCCCTGCTCAAAACCTCAAAAGTAAAGAAATTTACATCCTATGAAAATATCTGGGTTCACTGACAGTAACCTAAAGCTAAGTTTTATTGTTCCCCGTGCAAAGTGTTGTGGGGGAATATAGAAATACTGGGTGTTGTCTTGTCTTGTCAGTGCTCTCATGTGTACAATTCTTGCCGGATTTTTATCTAACTTATAACAGAGGTTTATGTCTGCTATGTCTTGGACAAGTTCTAAAACCAGTGCTGATCAACTATTTTTTAAAGAGTTATGCTCCTTGGAAATATTAATCATATGAAAAATTGCATTGTACAGTCTTTCACGTGTACAATTCTTGCCAGATTTTTATCAAACTTACATCAAAGCTTATATCAGCAATGTCTCAGATAAAGTTGAAAATCAGTGACAATCAAGAATTTTTTTAAAGAGTTATGCCATTGGAAATATAAATTATATTGAAAATTGCATTGTAAGGGCATTCAAACCTACATTTCTTTAAGATATAATATTTATAAAGTTTTAAAGAACAAAATAAATTTTTTGGGGTTATTTCCCTTTGACAGATAAAATATGTGCAATGTGGGGGACATTTGAACTCTGTTCTTTTATTTGTAAGATTGATTTTCAATTATTTAAATTTACTTGCAGATACTGAATTCAAAAATAAAGAGATTAGAACAACTGCTACACTTTAAGGATATTAGAGTAGAGGACTTACAATCACAACTCTCAGTAGTGCAAGGAATGTATTATGTGACAAATAAAAGATATCGATAAATTACTTTAGCATAGAAATGTATATAACTGATGTACTTTTAGAATTTCAAGGAATGTTCAGAGATAGTGTGAATCTATTATTGAATGGACACAGATACATGACTGTAACAAGGAATCTTGTTTAACCTCACCTTGATCCCCAAAAAATCTCCGAAAAGGAACAGTGATATATCATTTATTATTTTTTAGATTCCTTTTCAATTGTTTATGTTTATTTGCAGATACTGAATTCAAAAATAAAGAGATTAGAGCAACTGCTACACTTAAAAGAAATCAGAATAGAAGACTTACAAACACAACTCTCTCAAGTGCAAGGAATGTATTATGTGACAACTAAAAGATATAGATAAATTACTTTTGTGTAGAAATGAATCTGTACATAACTAATGTATTTTTTTCGAATTTTAAGAAGCTTCAGGGATAGCATGAATCTATTACTAAATGGACAATTGTTACAAGGAATCTAGTTTTACCTAACCTAGACCAAAAAAACCAAACCAAAACCTCAATATATCACCTATTGTTACCATCATGCTACATAAATGTTTCTAAATGAAATATATGTATAGATAATAAGTTTGGGTATTTTTGGTTGGTTTGTTTTTGTAAGTTCATTATTTGTTTTTAAGGTGTTCATACCATATTGAAATTTGTGGATATATTTGATAATATATAGAAGCTATTTGACATCATTCCAATACGAAAAGTTAAATGCTTGTATAAATGTCAACTAATGGATACTTATCTTAAGATGTTTCTAAATGTTGCGGCTTTCAAATCCAAATCCGAAGTCTTGCTTTTGAATTTGTATGCACAATTTTAACAAGTCCTGTGGTCAGAAATTGGTATGAATACCTTAAGGATGATTTCTATAACATTTACTTCCTTGTTTTTGTGGGGGTCATTGCCGCCAAAGCTCCACATATTTTGCTGTAATTGAGATGATATTGGGAACTTTCGAAAGTCTTTAGATCATTCTTTGTTGGTATAGATAAAAAAAAAATAAGAATTGGTCACTTGTAAATGGATGTAAATACATGTATTATTTGATTTAAATTCAAATTTGTAATTAATTATGAAAATGTAAATGTACCTAATAATATCAGTAGAAAGCAACCATTGTTTTTGTTTTGTTTTTGAAATTAGACTAGGTTTCCTTTCTATAGCCAAATGATTTTAATTTTATATCAGTTTATTATATTCATGTACTCAGTGTTATGTTTTTATCAAAATATTGTGTTAATTTAGATATTGAGGTATGATGTCCAGTTTTTTGTTTGATTTAATTATTTGTTCCTATACATATTTTTCTGTTATTGCATATTTTTGATTTACATTTCAAGATTTGTCTCCCTTAAATAAGATATGAATATTTAGTTGTATTTTTGATGTAATGTAAAGCATCTGTAAATAGATATTCATTTTCATATCTTTGATCTGTGTTCACTTTGCTGTATTGTACAAATTTTTTGTACATTATTCTGCATTAGTTTAATTAAAAATTTCTTTTTGATAATTTTTATAGATAGTTCTTAAATATTTTCCCTTTTAGCCAAATATGTAGTTTCAAATATTCATATTGAATGATTTGGGAGTGAAATAATATCAGTCACAGGTTTGTGCCAAATTTTTTGTCATAACACTGAGAAAGAAAAATTGAAAGAACCAAAATATCAAGGGAAAAGAAGGATTAAAAAAAATATCCAGCATCAGGAACCAAATTTTGTTGACAGAATTGATATATTTTATTGAAATATTAACTTGTTATTGTATATATTTGTGTGATGTGTTAGTTATTTACTTTTAACTTAAAATGATAGCTATACTCAGAGGTGGCTTAAATGTCTTGGATTTAAGGGCTTCTAGATTTTTTAATTGATTGTTAAGGGTAGAAAGTGAAAGTTTTGGGGCATATTTTTTTCAGTTTTGTTTTGCTTTCTATTTTTGAATGAAAATCTTCATTTTATTTTTTAGAGTTAAATTTAGAAAGCCTGTATGCTCCATATAAAAGACTTTAATTATCAAAATTATTCTTTATTCATTACGTTAGTTAAATAGTTCTTAAAAAAAAATGAATAATTTAGTTTTCTGTTCAAATTATTGAAACAACACAAAATACATGTTGCCATCATAAAAAATTGGTACATATGAATTCATGGAAGGTTACAAAAAGTTATTTTTATGTAGAATTAATAAACCATTAAATGATTTCTATATCAAAAAATATTTTCATTTGTATGTACTTCTTATTGCTAATGTACAGAAATGTTCTTTCAACAAAGTCTATGTTGGTTATGAGTATTTCAAAACTTAATATATATGTTAATTTAAAGCAATTCTTATTCACTTCTCTAGTCAATGATTTTAATCAAAATACTTTGTATATTTGAAGCTTTTATCGCTGCTGTAAATGTTTGCTTTCAGCTAGATGGTAAAAGTAGCCAGTAGTGTTTTTACATAATAGGAGTGCTTCTATCGTTAATGTTCTGTTATCTTTGTTGTCAATTTTTTTGTAGAAAAGAATACCGGTTGAATTGATAAGTGATGGGGCAGGTTCATATGAAAAATAATTGGAATACTCAATTTAGCATTTATATGGAAATAAATTTGGTCAGATTCATGGTAGCATTTTAAGAGGGATGAGTCAAAGAGTATATGATTTAATGGAAATACCCTTAAATCATAAAAAGTGTTTACCAAAAGCCCCTCCTACTTTTTGTCTCGCCTTGACAGAGTCAAAAAGCGAGACATAGGTATGCTGTTTTCTTCAGCGGCGGCGTCGTCAACAATATATTAGTTTGGGATTAGGTCAGTTTATGGAGAACCACTTGTGGAAGGTCAATGATATTTGGTATGCAGTTGTATTAGCATTGGCACATCATATTTCCATGGAGAATATTTGGCCACGCCCCCTCAGTCAGTCTATTGACATTGAAACTTTTGCATAGTTTTCATGTATTAGTTTCTGATTAGGTCAATTTATGGGGAACCACTAGTGGTAGGTCAATGATATTTGGTATGCAGTTGTATTACCATTGGCAAATCTCATTTTATGGAGATTACTGATTTCTGAAATAGCCCAATTGCCTTTCACGCAGAGCATCATTAATAACAAACAAACACTATTTTTTATTCAGTTAGTATTCAGAGTTGTTTGAATACAATGATTTTCAATGAAGAAATAATTATGCCACACTGGAACAGGATCTGATTTACCATCCAGAGCACCTGAGATCACCCCTGGATTTTGGTGGGATACATATTGCTCATTCTTTAGATTTCTATGTAGTGTTTTTTTACTGTTGTTTGTCTTTTTTCCATTTTTGCCAAGATAATGACAGTTTTTCTTTGACTAATGATTTTTGGTTGTCCCTTTGGTATTTTCTTTTTTTTTTTTTTAGGGCTATTCAATATAAATAAGCATATCTGTGATTAATATGGCTATATTGTGTTTACTTGGCTGCAATAAATCCAAAGGATTTATATATTTTTGTAGTTAGTTTGTTTTGTAAGTAGTTTGTCGTGTCTTCAATGAAATAATTTTCTATGCAGATTTTAGCTTTAGTGAAAACAAACTGAATATTTTTTTTAGTTTTCAGGTGTTTATAGCTTTAAAACAGATAACTTGTAAATTTCAATCATATTTAGTGTTGACACAGGCAAATGGAGGCAATCTTAAGAGTCTGATGTAATTCTGCAAAAAAAAAACATTTTGGAAAAATCTGAATGCAGTTATGGCCTTTAATAGCATGGATACCTCCACTATATATTTTTTATATTCCAAATTTTGCACTGATCAGTTTTAACTAATTATGAATACCTAAATATTCTTTTTCTGTAGAAATGTTTATCTTTATATATGTTCCCTTATAAGTGTTTATTAGTAAATAATTTAATATTGGATGTAACACGTCTTCTGATTGACTGAAAGTGTTTTGTCTATCAGCTCATAGACATGATTTTGTCATGTGACCGTGACGTCACCAACGTTATTTTCAAAATTTACTCCTTAAAAACAGAATTTAGAATTAAATTATAAGGAATGACTGTAATATTTTTTCTGTCTATTCAAAATAACCTAAAACATGTGGTGCACACTTTTAAATAACCCACTACACGGGTTATTCAGTGTGCACCACATTTTTAGGTTATTTCTTCATAGACAGAAAAAAATATTACAGTCATTCCTTAAAGAACATTCTTTCATGCAACAATATGATCATTATTATCATCATCATCATATTATTTATTTTTATTATAAATTATATTCAATAAATTGTCTCTCCAAATTGATACCAATTTTGGTAAATAACTAAATTTGTCTCCAGTAAATTGACCTCATATTCAGTGATGTTCAAATTCAATGAGCCTGCTGGTCACAGGAGTTAAATTTCTTGAGTCCCATTAGAAAACTTATCTGTGACAGGTTCAGTGTTTGGTAGAGATTTTCTTAATAATTTTTAGATTTAAACTACAAATCTGGCACTTAAAGTTTTCATTATGAATTTGAATATGTCTGCATCACAGGAGGATCTACCATGATACTAGAATAGTCATAATTTGTTTTAAGTATTAGATTGCTTGCTCAAGCTAATGTACTAAAGATAACTTTCGAAAGATTTCTTATTTTTATTTTACTCTTTTGCCAATGTTTTGTGTGTGATTTGAATATTAAAGTATTTTTTTTGCCGATTTTAACTAAATATCATACAATGTTAAAGTTTATTTTTGCATTTTTAGGTTTTCTTTCTGTAAGAATATTCATTCTTACTTTACCATGTTACAGTTAAAAAAACTATTATCAGGACTGTGATAAAATCAGTCTTATTTAAAACATATGCATTATGGCATATCATGTTCAGTCATAGAGTTAACTCCTAAAGTAGATTTTTGTCTTATTATTTATTCTAACGTCATTCTTATTTGGACCATAATGAGCATGTTGGAGTTCTCTGTTTCTTAATGAAGGACTTAACTTGTTTGCAATTGTTAATAAAAGAAAAGGAGTAAATTTTGTGCTGAAATTCTGGTTAAGTAACCCTTTTGATAGAGAGAACCTGTGAAAGTTAATCAATGATAATACTTTACATATTCATGATTTGTGTCTCTGTTCTTAAAAAACATGTATGAAAGAGAAGCTTTGTATGTATAAAATGTTATAGTATTAATATTAGATATATATTTTTTCTGTTTAAATGTTATTATATATACATTAATGGTATTATAAATTCTAATTTTACAATCTTTACATCTGTATAATAAATTATGAGACTTCATATGAAACTTTGTTGATTACTTTTTGAGCAACTAAGGACTTGATGTTCAAATCTGAAGTGCATTTATGATATATTTGTCAAGTAGCTGATAAATAAAGTCACACTGAAAAGGAACGTTCCCAAAGAAACAGCATTAAAGAAATATGAAAATGTGAATAACTAAATCATTGAATTCTATTTTTAAAAGACCAATGACATTTACATTTTTATTAGACTTTAACTTCAACATAAAATCAGGAGATGTGGTATGACCAAAATTTAACCAACTATAGGTTGCACTTTGTAAATACAGCTGTTTCACAAACCACGCCTCTTTTGGGGAGATATATAATATTCATAGATATTTTGTTTTGTTTACGTACTGGTTCCCAGATATGACCTCTATGATTCATCTCATAGAGACATAACTTGGAAATGTTACCAGTATAAATACACATGGATAGCGGCAAAATTGAATTCTGAGGAGGACCAAAAGCGAAGGCAGGGGTAGTACAGAATTTTAGTATAAGTTTAAACTCTTAGAAGTTCAGGGCATAAAAATGTTGAAAATATGCCACACAGCCCTATATTTTGACCTTTGAAAAAAATTGTAGCACATATGAACTTTCCATTCTAGGATATAATTTTTTACGAAACTTCATAGTAAAAGTGGCACAGTTTTAGCCATCAAAGGAGTTCCTATGGGAAATTGTATTGTCTATATTTACAGAAGTGCAACCTATAGGTCACTGTACGGCCTTAAACAATGAGTAAAACTAAAACTAAAACTAGAAGTTTCTTTCATAAAGTATTTGTGAAATATAAAAGTAAAAAGATGAACTGAAAAATTAGTTGATTTAATTTTGTTTGATATTAAAACAAAATACCTACAGCCTGGTCAGTGAATTTTTGTCGAAAATATTCCAGCAGAAGCAAGTGGCAAAATATGATGCTGGATTTATATGCTTATGCTTATGAAAGAATATTTACCATTCATTCATTCATTCATTCATTCGTTCGTTCGTTCGTTCGTTCGTTTATTCGTTCGTTCGTTCGTTCGTTCGTTCGTTCATTCATTCGTTCATTCATTCATTCACTCATTCATTCATTCATTCATTCATTCATTCATTCACTCATTCATTCATTCATTCATTCATTCATTCCAACCTAATAACAGGTGTAGGCAATATTTTTTTCTTTTGCAATATAAGTCATTTGGGTCAATATCCCTAATGCGCCTCAAATTGAGGAACTCAAAATTTGTGCATAAACAAAAAATATCTGTGTAGTGATATTGGACATATTTCTATTTTTAACAAGTGACTGAGCTTAACCATTTGTGTTGATTTGAAAAGTAGAGGACCATAGAATAAATGTTAACCACGAGGAGCCGCATCATGAAAGGATTTTCAGGGTAGGCTAATTTACGGAAAAATAAATCTCATTTCGTACCCAGAAAATTTAACCACATATGTGAAAATGTCTCAGCTTCGAAACGAAACATCATACATATCCAAGTTTCAATATGGACTGAGCTACAGAACAAAAACGTTACCATTACCGCCTATGGGAAATCAATTGCGCATATTGACCCATTTCATCTGAAAGATGCTGTGAACTTTTCAAAAATTTAATTGGAAGGAATTGGATATGAGCAAACTCAAAAAATTCAAATTCACTTAAAGTGAGCTTTCTAAAGCAATTATGGTAAGATGGCAGTGATATTAGATATTTTAACTCTATATAATTAAATCAGACACTGACAAAGAAAAGTACTTGAAATATTTAATAAGGTGTAGGTTAAAGACATGAGAGTTTAACTCTAGTATATGTACATGTCCCAAATCGAACCCAGGAACCTTACCAGTGGTTGTCTCATATCATATCTTAATGTTTGAAATTAAGTGTTGATGGCAGATTTTTTATTGTCTGTTAAACTTATTCAAAACTCTTTTAGACTAAACACAATTGAAAGGTGGACATTTTTAACAGAGTACAGACACCTGTCTATTGTTGAAGACATTATTTTGTCCACTATTTTTGTTTTGTGCAAGTTTGTTTGCTGTTTCATTGGTGTATTTCTGGCATCTTCTTTTATTCAAATGTGTGTTTACTTTAATGCCTACTAGTCAAAGTCTATCTTTTTTCTCACCAATTAAGAGAACAAAATGTTGTGCACATCATGTAGTTCACAAAATACAGAATTCAAAAGGAAAACAACTTTAACTAACGTTTAATAAACATTTGCTTTTTAATAAGATTCACAAATTGTAGAAATTTGGAGAAAAAAACCCAATACTGAGTAGATTAAGCAGATAATTTGAAGAGGGAAAAAAATAATTGTGCAAGAAATTTCCTGTAGGCTTGTACAATGAAGGTTTTACTACAAATATCACACAACTTTAACATAATCAATGATCCATGACAATGAAGTCACAGTCAGATGAACAATGCCAGACAGACATTTACACCTATCAACCATTCCATACACCAAACATAGTGGTCCTATAGCTTATAGTACCTGAGAAACATTTCAAACCACAAAATCTTAACATTGACCAAATTCAGGGGCGTAGCTGCCGTTAGTCACTTTAGGCACATGCCTACACATAATGTTTTTCACAATTTTTTTTTTTTTAAATAATGGCTGGACGTTATCTGTAGATGCACGTGAAGTCGTCAAAACGCTAGTCTATCATCCTTAGTGAATGGAGATTCCGAGTAGTAGATAGAATTGTATGGACATGATATTCCACCTTATATAGAAACTAAAAACTAGAACTTTGGATCAGATCATTTCACTTCTATCAACAAATACTTGAATTAACCTCAACATGCTCAAAACCCTTACATTTAATTCTTAGAAACATGATTTTTTTATTAGTTGTTGGCTTTCAACAGAGACATATAATACGTATTATATGTCTCTGCTTTCAACTAGCTTTCCACTTAGTCTTCATCAGACCCACAATAAAAACCTTGACAAAGTGGGGCGTCCGTTTGGTTGTGCGGGATGTATGAATACGCAGTCACGTCTGGTCAGAAGGGGACGTTAAATCCGATGCCTAGTGTAGAGAGAATGCCATGCTATCTGCACGTTAAGAACACTCACAACAAGTTACCCATTGTACAAAATCAGATTTTGTTTTATGAAATTTAAAGTAAGATTTCAAATTTTCTTTATACACAATTGTTAACCCACCTGATTTTCTATCAAAAGCACTTCTGTGTTTACAAAAATAGTTATAACCATTGGGAACATTCAATATATCATATTTATCTGTTTTCGTCTCTTCGAAAAGACAAATATCATTTTTGATGGTAAGATCATTGAAATCATCATACAAAAGTTTTGATTTTAGACCACATACATTAAGAGATAAGATTTTTATTTCATTTTCCACATTGTCCGAATTACTAAAACTGTTCAAAGGAACATTACAGCTCCTGTTTTCAGCCCCTATCGTGGTCTTAATGGGGTTTCTTCAGCCGACTGAAATGCGGTTGCGGGTGATCGAATCTGTGGACATTGGCGTAGATTACGTTGAGGCAACCGAGGCAGCTGCGTCGGTAAAAAAAAAAAACAAAAAAAAATCTTTTTAATCTTTTAAACAATTTCCATCTTATACAGCAAAATCGCTACTTTAGCGCTAATATACCGACTAACACGAGTATCGTCCCGTTGTCGTTATTGATTCTTTCCTTTGCGAATTCAAGACTTATGGAAACATTTCCCTCCACTAATCAGAAATCCCCTTTGCGGTAGTTTTCATTAATATAGATATGTCGGAGTCAAAGAAATCGACAAAACTAAAGCAAACAGATTTATTAATTTAATCCTACCCCAAGCAAGATCAGAAAAATAGATGATGATCAGGCTCACGAGCAATTTCTTTACCAGTCAGGTAAATCATGGAAGTATTATATTGACTTCCATGGGTAAATTATTATTTTTGTGTGAGAATAATTTCTTGTGCATGAGGGTCTGGGTGCGGTTTACAGAATACAAAAAAAATGATCTGAAATTAATTTAAACTAAAAAGGAATAGAGATATTTAAAAGGGTGCTAAGATTTAAAAGAAAGGAAATTGTGGGCGAAAAGAATAAAAAAATAAATATTTGAAAATCCCTATTCAAACCCTCATACATATAACCGTAACGTCTAAAATTGAAACATATTTGCGTGTTGACATTTCCCCCTACATGTAGTACTCCAATTACTCAGAGTTTCATTGACTTTTTTACCAATCAAAATAAAATATACATCATTCAACATGCACAGAATATAATGTGTATGTTGTTCTCAAGTTTTATTCTCGCTACTTTAAATTTATAGTTTTTCACTAGCAGGGAATTTTTAATATTTAAAGGAGTCATTAATTTCAGAGAAATATATGGGAGATGTCTATATTAGTTCATACAGATGTCAGTTTATATATTAAAATTTCAACCAAATACTGTTCTCATTTATTCTGCAGACTCCAGAATAGCACATTTCCGTTAGTACTTCGCCGGTTGTCATTTTCACCATGGGAAAAATTCCAAAACCATGACGAACGTCCAAGAAATATCAGAGCGAAACACAACCAATAAAAGTTCCGTGGTGCACTTTACATGTAGCATGTGGCCCACGAATAAAGGAATAAATGATCATCACAAAAAATATTTTAAATTAACCTTAATCGTTTCGTTCGTTTTTCTGCATTGAAATCTCTGTACAGGTTTCTTCTGACCATCGAACAAGGTCTTGCCTCCCTTCTGGTATGACGTTAAAGCTTATGTCACAGTGAGGTACAGCCCTCAATATTAGAGTGTGCGATGGCATGGAAAAATATCGGCAGATTACTGATTTATTTAAATTGGCTTTCAGGAAACTTGTCATTAGTTGTCTTATGTGGTAACTCCACGTGCTTCGTATTCAGTCTCTTACAAACAAAGAGGAAAGAATAAAAAGTAACTTCGGAGCTTGACATATTGTACGGACATAAATATATTGTTTGAGACTGTATGTCGACCTCTAT